GAAAGAAGTCAGCTGTATGACAGCAGGTATGAAAATCTAATGATCTGTAGTCATTATATGTATCAATAACATTGAGAGTCACTGCAAGGTGTTGAACAGAGTAATGATAAAATTGAATGTAAAATAAATAAATTTAGGGAACAGCAATTAGCGTACTGGCTATGTCATTGGACTGATGGATTGAATGTGAACTACGAGAGGAGAAAAAAGAAACAAAGGAAACTTCAAAATATTGGCTCAAGCAGAAAGAATAGATTTACCACGGACTGAAATGGATAAAGATCAAGTATAAACATGAGTTTACTGTCACATTATAATATTTAGTGCTGTAGGACATTATGAAATTATCAAGAAGTGATCTCACTTGTGTAGATAGATTACATAAGAGATTGAGGCCTATGTCCTGGGGCACCTACAATTTCAAGAATTCAGACTAAAGAGGAGGGATTAGCAAAAAAAAAAAATCAGAAGAAGAAAAAAATAAGAGAATATACTATTCTGGAAGCCAACTAAAGTTTGTAAAGTCAAGAAGGGAGGAGTAGTAAACTCTCAAAGACTACACATAGGTTAAATGAAAAAAGACAAGATCTAAAATTGCCATTGGATTTACATCATTGAGATCATGGGTGATCTTGACAAGAGAAGGTTCATGGGTAAGGTATAACTGAAAACCTAATTGAAATGGGATTTAAGAACAAATCGGGGGACCAGCAGTTGGCATAATGGCTATGTCGCTGGACTCCCATGTAGTTGACCACAGTTTAAGTCCCAGACCTGGTGGCTTAAACTCACACCAGGCATGTGTGCATGTGTGCCCAAGATCCAGAGAAGAGAATGGAGGAGAAGGGATTGCATTGTGACCATGCCCCTTTGTGTGTGGGGGGAGGTGGTTTCGATTTCTTGCTTTCTGTCTCTCTGTCTCTCTCTGTCTTTCTGGTGAATGTACACACCCTATAACAAAAAAAAATCTCTCTCAAAAAAAAAAAAAAAAAGAACAAATTAGAAATTATAGCAAGTTTACACAGCTCTTCATGGGCTTTTTCCACAAAAAGAAGAAAAATATTGTGACAGCAGCTGACAGAACAAGTACAGGGTATGTTTTCTCTCTGACACAGTGATTAACTGAGTCTAGTCTCAAGATTATTGAATCTAATAAGAGGTTGAGAGCACTTGTTACCCAACATAGATAAGCCACACATGAGTTACTCATGTTTACATGCCATATTACTATCATGTTACCATGCAGTATGAAAACTACAAGTAACCAACAGAGTCAAAAGTGAAGATTGGTTTTGTCCAGTCCCATTGATTGTTCAAGGATCCAAAATATATCAGATTAAAATTGAATGTAAAATAAATAAATTTAGGGAACAGCAATTAGCGTACTGGCTATGTCATTGGACTCCCATGTAGTTGACAACGGTTCGAGTCCTGGACCCAGTGGTTTAAATTCACACCAGGCGCGTGTGCATGCAGGCCCAAGATCCCGAAAGGAGAATGGAGGAGAAGGGATTGCGGAGTGGCCATCCTCCCTAGGAGGTGATTTCTCACTTTCCGTTTCTCTGTCTCTGGTGAGCGCACGCACCCTATAGTGAAAACCTCTGAAAAAAAAAAAGGGGGGAAAATAAATAAATATTTTTTTTAATTACCCCAGTCTCAACTGGTTATTTACCTTTATTCCTAGTGTGCTTATCTATCAAATATTTCTAGTCATTAATTTTTAAACCTAATGTATGTACTTAGGAAAGCCATCTAAATTCCATTTTCAACTAAAACAGTGTAAATAAATAGGAAAGGGGTTTTTTTCCCCACATATTTGAGTGTTATTCTAGAAATATGGGTCATGGCTGCTTAAGGGAGCTGGCTACCAACAACTGGAAGAAATAAAGGAGGCTTTCCAGAGGCAGGCGTACTTGCACCGAAGCTTAGGTCCTTTGCAGTAGTTGTTTCTTCTCCCTAAGATGCTCATCAGATCTTGACGCTTATTGTCAGGTAGATCACAGCTTAAATGTCAGCTTATCAAAGAGATCTTTTTGAGAAATCTCTTAACTTCACTTTTAGGGTATATCCTTTATCGTATCATTTATTGTAATGTAACATGAAAATCTCATCTACATGTGTATTTGTTTATCATCTGTCTCAATGACTTATCAAAGGCCCCATTTTTCTGAGAAAGTAACATGCTCTGCTTCCCTCATTACCGATTGGATAATTTTTTTTAATGCATTAGAAATGTTATACATACCTACAGTTTACAACAGTGAATGAACATCAATTCTATCTGTACCAGAAAATATCTTCATTCCAATCAGTGACAGAAAATGATAAAATATTCAGAATAGGCTACTTTTGGAAGATCATATGTGGTTCTTACATTTCAGAAATTAAATTGCAGATTAGCTATTTTTAAATGTTGTTTTCTGTAAATAGAATATTTTTCAGTAATATTATGTTAAACTTTTGTGCAAGTGAACAAAATAAAACCAGAATATAGTTTCACTAAGAAAGGTTTACGGATGCAGTAAAAAGTTATAACATTAAACCACGTACGTTTTTACTTACCCTCCATGCTATAAAATCAAGTTTTAAAAAATTCCCTTTTTTCATCCCTATTGTATGTACCTCATTAATCTAGTAATAGTTCTCCATGTCTATAATAAGGAAGCGTCAGTTTATTACTGGGTGAGTTTTCCAGGTGTTACCACGAAACTACAAAAAGAATTTTGATATTTCAGCCAATTTTCTTTCAAACTTTAATTGCTCTTTGGATGGGCTTCAAGAATTTTATTGAGTTTCTGAGAATAATCTCTTGGGTGATAATGAAAAGTTACTTATGTACGTTTCTTTTTGTCTCAGTTTATCATATCAGGAATTTTTACAATAGAAGTAGAGAAGCACCCTTCCCGCTCATTGGTAAGTCAAAATACTGGGAACAATTCCAGAGAAAACAAATTTAATTTGTCAAAAACATGAAATAAGAAGGAGATATCACTGCATTTAAGTATATAAAAGAAACATTTATATATCTGAAGGGAGAGAGAGACCACAATACAGTAATAGTAGTATGGGTTTTCAGCATGAACAGATTATCCAGATAGCAATAAGAAAATATCAGACTTACACCACACAATAGATCAAATGCACTTGGCATTCCATCCAACAACAGCAGAATACACATTCTTCTCACGAACACATGGGACATTCTACAAAATAGAGTATATGTTAGAACACAAAACAAGTCATAAAAAAAATATAAGATTGGGACCAGCAATTAGCCTAATGGCTATGTCACTGGACTCCCACGTAGTCGACCGCAGTTCACATCCTGGACCCAGTGGCTTAAAACTCACGCTGCTCACGTGTGCAAGCATGCCCAAGATCCCGAGAGGAGAATGGAGGAGAAGGGATTGTGGCGTGGCCATCCCCCCTGGGGGGTGATTTCTCACTTTCTGTCTCTCTGTCTCTCTCTGTCTGTCTGGCGAGCGCACACGCCCTATAGCAAAAACCTCTTAAAATATATATATATATATGATTGAACTCATATAAATTACCTTTTCTGACCACAATCATATGAAACTAGAAATCAATAATAAGAGTAATCTTGGAAAAATCACCACTATGTGGAAATTAAACAATATACTCTTGAACAATCAATCTGCCAAAAAAGAAGTAAAAGGTAGGGACCAGCAGTGGCATAATGGTTATGTCAATGGGCACCCACATAGTCGACTACAGTTAAAGTCCCGGACCTAGTGGCTTAAAACTCACATTGGGCACGTGTGAGTGCCTGCCCAAGAACCTGGGAGGAGAATGGAGGAGAAGGGATTGCAGCATGGCTGTGTCCCCAGGGGGGGGATTTCTCACTTTCTGTCTCTCTGTCAAGTACACACACCCTATAGCAAAAATTTATCTTAAAAAAAAAAAAAAGAAGTGAAAAATACAATTAGGAAAATATCTTGAGACAAAGTGGAAAAACAATTTATAGATGCAACAAAAGCAGTTCTGAGAGACAAGTTTATAGCATAAATGCCTACATCAGAAAATAACAAATAGCTTATCAGTATACCTTTTAAAACTAGGAAATAAGAAATAATAAACTAAGCACAAAGTTAGTAGAAGTAAGGAAATAGTAAAGATCACGGCAGAAGTACATGAAATGGAGACTAGAAAAACTGTAAGAGAATTAGTAAAACTAATTGTTTTATTTTTTAAAAGAAAATCACAACTGTTTAGCTAGACTAAGAAAACAATAGAGAAGATTTAAATACTATAAATAAAATCAGAAATGAGTAAGGAGATATGGGAACCAGCAGTTAGCGTAATGGCTATGTCGCTGGACTCCCACGTAGTCGACCACAGTTCGCATCCCAGACCCGGTGGCTTAAAACTCACGCCGGGCACGTGTGCATGCGTGCCCAAGATCCCAAGAGGAGAATGGAGGAAAAGGGATTGCGGCGTGACCATCCCCCCTGGGGGGTGATTTCTCGCTTTCTGTCTCTCTGTCTCTCTCTCTGTCTGTCCGGCAAGCACACGCGCCCTATAGTGAAAACCTCTCCAAAAAAAAAAAAAAAGAGTAAGGAGACAATATAACTGATACCACAGAAATACAAAGAATTATAAGAGACAACATCAACAAAGTATGTAACCTGGAAGTCTGAAAGTCTGAATTATGAAGAAATAGAAAACCCAAGGTGAATAATGAGTAAGGAGACTGATCTGTAAGAAAGTGTCTCATCAAAGAAAAGCCCAGGAACTGAAAGCTTCACTGCTGAATTCTACCAGACATTTGAAGAATTAATACCAATCCTTCTCAAGTCTTTCCAAATATTGAAAGAGAACACTTTCGAGTTCATTTAACAAATATTGTAAGTCTGACACCAAAGCCAGCCTGAAAATACAACAAAAGGAAATTATAAACCGATATTCCTGATAAACATAGATGGAAAAATGCTTAACAAAATACTAGTAAACCAACTTCTACAACACGTAAGATTGTACATCATGGTAAGGTAGGATTTATCCCTGGGATGCAAGGATCTTTGGCATACGTAAACCAATAAATGTGATCCACCACATTTATAGAATGAAACACAAAAACTATATGATCATCTCAATAAATAATTTTAGGAGCCTGCAGGTGGCATGGTGTTCAAGATGCTAGACTCCCCACATGGCCATCCATGGTTCAAGTCCCAGACCTGGCAGCCTGCTTTTTCACTTTCTCTTTCTGTCAAATTTTAAAAATAAAAATAATAAATAAAATTAAATAACTCTTTAAAAAATAAATAAATAATAATTTCCAAAGTTAGTTAATAAAGTTCAACATTCTTTCATAAAACTCTCAAGAAATCAAGTATTGTACCTAAATGTAACAAAGGCCCTGTATGAATAACATACAGCTAACGTGCTATTCAAAGGCAAGAAATTGAAAATGTTTCTTTTAAAATCAGAAACAAAAGGGTCATTTCATGGTCTGGTGTCTAGCGTGATCTATTTCACATGGCCAACTCTACAGTTCCATCCTAGACCCAACAACTTGTAAAACACACCAGGCACATATGTGTGCATGCCTGGAATCTAAGAAGGAGGGAAGAATGGAGAAGAAATTGCAACATAACCATGCTGCATGGAGGGATGCTTTCTCACTTTTTCTCTCCTCTCTCTCTCTCTCTCTCTCTCTCTCTCGCACACATGCAAGATATGATGCAAGTATGATATTTGCTGTTTTTGATAAGTATCTTCTATCTATAAAGGGAGACTTTTTACCTTGAAGGGATATAAATTTCATTGATAGTTATCTTTCTGCATCTATAAAGATGATCAAATAGTTTTCTTCTTTAATCTGTTAATGTGATAATACTGAAATAGTTCAAAAACATCAAATAAAACTATCTATCTATCTATCTGTCTGTATAAATATAATTTCTTTTGGATAAAAGAAATACCTAGAAGAGAAATTGCTGGATCATATGATTGGTTCTAGTCTTAAATTTTTTAGTTTTTTTTACATCTAAGATTAAAATCATTTGTCAGAGACAAATTTACTTCTCTCTTGGTCTGGATGCCAGAGCAATTATGCAAGGAAGTTATGGTGAATAGAAATAGGGAGAATACGCATCCTTATCTTGGTTTATCACTTTCTACTATCTCTTTGTTTCTCTGTCTCTTTGTCTCTCTCTCTCTCTCTCTGGTGAACACATGCACCCTATGGCAAAAACCTTTTTAAAAATTTAAAACTAGAACCAATCATATGATCTAGCAATTTCTCTTCTAGGTATTTCTTTTATCCAAAAGAAATATTTATACAGACAGAGAGATAGTTATATTTGATGTTTTTTAACTATTTCGGTATTATCACATTAATAGATTAAAGAAGAAAAATATTTGATCATCTTTATAGATGCAGGAAAATAACTATCAATGAAATGTATACCCATTCAAGGTAAAAAGTGTCCCTTTGTAGATAGAAGATACTTATCAAAAACAGCAAATATCATACTTGGTAATGCAATGTTTATAAATATTCATATGAAAATTAAGCATAAAACAAGAATAAAACTTTTATTACTACCACTTTATATAGTAATTCAACATCCTCATTAGACAAGAAAGAAAGAAAGAAAGAAAGAAAGAAGGCAAAGAAGACAAATATTAAAAATATGAAGATTGGAAAGGAAGGGCCAAAACTCATTATAGCCACTCCTCACTTAATGACCTACCTGTTTAATGACCCTGAGTTAGGACCAATTCTCCAGCATCAAGAATCCCCTTTCTCAGTCTTTGTCTTCCAGCAGTATTAGTATTCACTAGGCAAAGTGTTCACAATCACACAAGACTACATATTTCGTTTATAAATTTGTACTTTACTGTGCATCCATTGTAGTATTCAGAATAAATAATAACAAGTATGCCAAATTTATATTTTTGTGTTGTGGTGTGTCCTATCATTTTATGGCACTTATCTAATGTATATTTTTGTATGGATAGAATTACATGAATCTAGTGTGGTTTCACAGATAATCTATTGAAAAATACATACCCTGGGGTGCCATGACACACTGCAAGACGTCTGCTTTCAAACTCCTTGCTTATTGACCAATTCATTTAACAATCCACTTGTTGTTAAGTGAGGAGTACCTGTATTCTAAAATTACATGCATGACTTCTAGGGCCTTGGAAAAGGTGTATGTGTTCCAGAAGCTCAAGATCCAAGTGTCTTAGCATCATGGTAATCTGCCCCTAAAGAGAACAATAGGTTTATATGTGATGTCACTTCCTTGTGTTCTACCTACATTTAGTCAATTGTTTCTCTAGGCCATTACCCCATAGTACTTGCTTGCTTCAACACAGTACACTTAATCATTTTGTATTTAATGAGTAAATAGAATGTATGCATGCAATTTCAGAAAACCATTGAACCCTATGAGATTCCTGACAAATTTGGAAGTTGGAAACCGTTAGAGTTAAAATAACTTTTAATTCTGGAAAAATCAGAAATGATAACAAATCAGCAATTCTAACATACTTGCTAATAATACAGTCTGATAACTTCATGCCAACTTGTTTGTTCTACATATGACTAGCTGATATTTTGTATCTATTTCAGTTAATGTACACCGTATGGATGAACCTAAGCAGTTTTATCGCTACCATAATTGGCATATTTCTAATTTTATTTGAAATTATATACTTTTTAGCAAAACAAGTAAAGGAGCAATGGCCACATGTAAGTACAAAGTTTTACAATATTTTTTACAGACATTTTTTGTAAAAAGAAAAACAAGCAGAAGAGATTTTGTTGTTGTACAAACGTGGAGATGATCAAAATTATTAATTCAAGGAGTAAGAGAAGACGACTGCGAAACAAGCTCTAAACATCTTAAACATTCAATACTACTGTTTGTTATTTTAAATATCTTTTTTAAATTTTTATTTATTTATTTTCTGTAAGGCATGTGAACTCACAAGAAATAGAGAGAGAGAGGGAAAGTGAGAAAGCAAACTGCCAAGTCCGGGACTTGAACCACGGTCAAACGTGGGAGTCTAGCACCTTAACCACGACACCACCTACTGGCTCCTAAGTTTGTTATTTTATTTCTCTAAGTCTAGTTTTTCTCTAAGATGAGAATAATAGACACTCCTCACTGAGTTTTATTTCTGTGGCTAGGTCACCAAGCAGATCAATTGATAATCAAGGAGCTTAATGACAGGTGTTTTATGATGTCATGGCACCGTAAGATATGTATTTTTCAACACATGGCAGCCACACTAGAATAATGTAATTCTATCCATACAAAAAGCATACATTAGACAAACACCAGAAAATGACAAAACATACCACAACACAAAAATATAAATCTACTATAACCATTTTTATTTACTCTGAGTATTACTGTGGATGCACAGTAGTATAAATTTATAAACGTAACATGTAGTATTGTGTGATTGTAAACGCTACATGTACTGAATACTAACCAACAGTAGGGATGAGACAAAGACTGAGAAAGGGAATTCCCAAGACTCACACTAACTGAGAAAGGGAACTCCCCACCCTGGAGAGTGGTCATTCAACAGGTAGGTCATTAAGTGAGGAGTAGCTGTCATTCTACCTACCATATGGGATTATCGTGGTCTCACTAAAATAAATAACGTGTATAAAGCATTTAGTACAAATGCCTAGACATCTAGTAAGTGTTCAATAAATGTCTAATAAATTATAATAATAACCATGTAAATAGGCAAAATTATCACAATTATATTAATGTGTGGTACCAGTAGTACAGGTGAGTTTTCTGTTTTCTAAATTTGGGGGGGTTGGGGGCAGACTATGACCAAGTGGTGCAGGGAGGCAGGTCCCACATGGCCAATTGCAGTTCAAGTCCCAGCTCTGGTGACTAAAACATGCCAGGCTTTTGTGTATGTGCCCCAAATTCCCACGCAATGGAGAAAAGGGAGAGAAGGGGTTGCAATGTGATTACGCCACTTTGCGAGATGCATTCTGCTTCTTCCTCTCTCTTAAATAGAAACTAATAAACAGAGATAAGTAGTTTATAATTTTATATTACCTTTATGTTGCTGAATCATTTAGAAATGTGAAGATCTCCAAGGAATATTTTTTTCTTGTATTTAGCAAAGTGGGATTCTGCTTACAACACAGTTGTGGATATTCTCCATCTTGGAGATGTTCCTGACAAGCAAAGTGACAAAATGGGGAAAGAAAGTATTTTATACTGGCAACAAGCATTTATAATGTGAGTATTTCATTTCTCTGGCTCATCACAAAGTATTTGTTTCTGTTATAAACCCATGCTAAGAGTTTAAAATTTCAATAGGAATCTTTCATGATGTTGTCTCTAAATATTAAATATGAACTGAGATAGTAGGGACTTAATTTGTTTATATACAAATGAAAATAAACAATTCTCCCTGGATAAAAATTTAGAATTAAAGGGGTGTGTGCCCATATCCTCATGAGAAACTACAGTAAGCGATGTATCATTTTCTGACTCAGGCCTATTTCATTTGAAGAACAGTCCTGTAGATATCAGTCTACTGAGTCTGTGGCCTCTTATTATCAAGTTTAGATCTTTAGCAACTGGGAGCCTTGAAGCAGAAGGAAAACAAAAGAACGTTGAGAGGAGAAAGGCAACAGACATTATCGGACACTGCTGGCCCTGGATGAAACCAATGATAGACAAACAACTGGGAATCGGCCACCAGAAGCCTAGTTATTCAAACTCATTCACAGCTGAGTTAACCTTTGATCTGATAGGAGAGAGGAAATAAAGAATACAAAGTGTGTAAGATGAGGAAAATGCAAGACAATATCCAGCCAGCAGTATGGAATGAACTAGAATTAAAGGAATTAACCCCAGTTATGCAATATTTATCAAAACCTACCCAGTGCCTTCGTGAAATAAGTGGTGGTTGTTAAAATAACCTGAAATAAAGGGAAATTTCTGAAAAGGACATTTTGCATATAACTGGGACAACTGCCAGCAGAAAGGATAAAGATTCTGGTAACTTCATTTAAAAGCCATCAGTGACCAAGAGAGGAGGTTTTTGAAGCTCCATATTCTCTGGAACAAACCTCAATCCACACATTTTGAGAAAAGGAAATATTTGGGCTAAGCAAATAAAACTGTGGCCTCAGAACATCAAGGAAAGGAGGGAAATCACTGAGTCTCCGCTCAAGAAAATGTAAATAATTTAATTTTAAAATCTTCATAAGAGGAAAGTCTACAAAGGACGAGGAGGGATAACAGGGCCGAAACACAAGGAGAAAGTGAGGGACAAGAAATTAATCTAAGCAGCTGCTCGTATACTAGACTCTCATTCTTTAAGTGATGAGCACTTAAGCTAATTGTGGGAGAAGGAGAAAAAGAAGACAGGATTGAAATATGTTTAGGAGATCACATCAAAAGAATTATTTGATTATTTTGATTTGGGAGCTACTCTCAACTCCCTGGCAAGAGCAATCAAGTGAGTGATGAGCTCTTCCCTAGAAAGGAAAAAAAAAAAAAAAAACAAAAAACTTTGGATCAGATGACACATTCTGAATGGGATTTATTTTATCTAAGGTGTTGTGGAGTCAAAACACTAGGGCAAAGTTGGATCTATACCCCTAGAGCTCCATAGAGAAGCCAAGGACGCAACTTTGGGAATTGAAAATGTTCAGATACTGAGCTAACCTCAATCTGTAAAAGGCATTGCCCTTGAAGTAACAAGAGAACCACAGCTGAAAATAAAACCAAGGGACATAGTGATGACCTAAATGGTATAAGAATATGGGATTAAGACTTGGGTAAAGGGACAGGTTTGTGACATCAGAAAGTACTAGTAAAATAGCTCATATTCTAAGTCGAGGCATTCGGTTAAAAATAGAAATCATGGGAGTCAACAGATAGCATAGTGGTTATGTCGCTGAACTCCCACATATTCGATGGCAGTTCAAGTCCAGACTCAGTGGCTTGAAACCCACACCAGGCACATGTGTGTGCATGCCCAAGATCCTGAGGGAAAATGGCAAAGGAATAGCAGCATGGCCATTCTCCTGTAGGGGTGATTTCTCACTTTCCCTCTCACTGTCTCTCTTTCCTGTGAGTGCACATGCCCTAAGGAAAAATAAATCTCTAAAAAAAATAGAAATCATGATCTTGACCCAAAGCAAAACAAGCAAACCACATCAAACAACAATTACTGAAATCTGCAAGCAAATTTCAATCTATGGGTTCCTTAGTCTTGACCCTCTTCTGTAGTACTTGAGGAGGGTTGGCCTTATGGGAAAGAAAGAACCAAGAAAAAAATGAAATGTTGGGCCAGCCTTGTAGCCTACTAGTCGAGAAAGCTAGATGCCACATAGGCCACCCTTGGTTCAAAACCCTGCCAGCAGCTTGAAAAACATGTCGGACATGTGTGCCTCCTCGGCCCAAATCCTGATGGGATGCAGAAAGAAAAAGAGTTGAAATGTGACCATTCCCTGCATGAGGTACTTTCTCTGTCTCTTTCTCTCTCTCTTGCTATTTGGTAAGCAAGTGCAAACATCCTCAGGCAATTAAAAGAGAGAAAAATTATTTTTAAAAAAATTAAAGAAAATTGAATGTTGGGAAAGGAGAGAAGAGTGTCATTAAGAAATTTTTGAACATTAAGTTAAGTTTTGTGTATTGCTGACAGTTATGCCATACAAAAGGCACTGTATAAAACACAGCCTTGTGTTAATTTTAATGAGGAAATGAACTAGTTTCCATTTATTCTAAATTTTTCATCACATAATAACTACTAAGGATGGCATTATATTCTTAACAGTTAAATTTTATAAATGTGACTCAAAATTAAATATTGATATATGTTCACTCTAGGTTTTATCATTGTTAAAGGTTTTCTAATCATCTAAAAGAAAAAAATATCAAAAGCAAAAGCAGATGTATTATTTTTTTCTTTTTTTGGAGAGGTTTTTGCTATAGGGCGCGTGTGCTCTCCA